GACTGGTTGAAAAATTAGATAATGGAGAGAGCATAAATAAGCCAATGAGAAGTGTAGACGAGAACCAGCCCAATGGCTCAATTTCCTTTCTCACTGAAGATTCTGTGAGTATTTGATGAATAAGGAGCCACAGCATATCACCTGCTCATCTTTGCTCTTCTAAAACAGCTGGAGTTTGATGTGACAGCCAGAGGAGAGATTGCTGCCTCGGGAAATGCTTTGCCTTTGACTGATTGCTGAATGGCTGGCAAATTAATTTTGGCACCTTTCCTTAAGTCATTTTGGTCCCATTCCTTCATTTTTCTGCTGGGAAGTGTGTACACTACATTACAGTTAAAAATACCCACACAACACAAATGTGGAGAATAGGATGTACTGTTTTTAGGAAAGAAGTTGTAGGCTGGAATGGTTCCATTTTGTAGGGTAGAAAGGATGCCGCCATGCTCTGTTAGGAGGCCCGCACTCTCAGCACAACTCAAAATTAGTGTTACTCCTCATCGACCTCTCACAAGGTCATGGGCTCCAGAGCTCAAGATTTTGAGTCCTTGGTGAGCTTCAGGTCTAGTCTTTTCCCCCTTTGGTACTTATGTGCAGCCAATCCTCCCTGCCCCCCAAAATCCTAGCACCACTCCTTCCTTATGTATTTACCCTGTCATCTCTAGCGAGAGGTGACAAGGTGGGTGGTTAAGAGCCTGAACTTAACCTGTCGTGCCTCAGTTTTATCTTCTATAAAAGGGAAATCATAAGGACAATAACTTGCCCCACCCTTTCTAGATTTCTTTGTTCACTGCCATCTTCTTTTGTGTGAAGCACAAATGTTTTCAACTCAACATATTTTACATTTACTTTTCTGTTCTTAAGAATGCATTTCAGGGGTGCCTGGGTGGTTCAGTTGGTTAAGTGTCCGACTCTTAATTTCAGCTCAGGTCTTGATCTCCTGGTCCTGAGTTCAAGCCCCATGTTGGGCTCCACACTGGGCATGGAGCCTACTTAAAAAAAAAAAAAAAAGAGAGAGAATGCATTTCATTACTGCTGACCAAGGAAAAAAGGATATACACTTTCATTTTTGCTTTTTCAAAGTTAAGTTAAAGAGGCCATGTTTGAGACTTAGAAGGATAAACCTTGGTAAGAAGTGATAGATAGTTTGAGCCTTGCCTTGGGATAAAGATGAAGCTGTGCTGTCTGAGCCCGTGGTGGACCGCTGTGTCTGTCACAGGCTGGGGCTCATTCCCTGGTTCTCCTGATGTCACTGGCCTGTTCTTGTAATTGATCTGTCCCAACTTGTCATTCTTGCCCTTACAGATTAAAAGGTCTTAGTATTAATTCTAATTACTGACTCTTCTGCTCTTACAATTATAGATATAGGTTTAATTTTTTTAATGGTGGTAAAATGCATATAACATAAAATTTAGCATTTTAACCATTTTTAAGTTTGTGTGTATGTGTATGTGTAACACCTTTATCAGAAACCTTAAAAGCATGTTGACTTATCTGTATGGGAACAGTTTTAAAGATATGGGAATCTTGGGGCACCTGGGTGGCTCAGTCGGTTAAACATCTGACTTTGGCTCCAGTCACGATCTCAGGGTCCTGGGATCAAGGCCCATGTGGGGCTCTGCTCTCAGCAGGGTGTCTGCTTCTCCCTCTCCTGCTGCCCCTCCCCCCACTTGTGTGCGCTCTCGCTCTCTCTCTCAAATAAATAAATAAAACCTTTTTAGGAAAAGATGTGGCAACTTAAAAGGTTATAACAATGAATTGAAACCAATCAGTATTGAAATAGTCCATTCGGTGCTACTGTATCTAGCACTGTAGATGCCATCTGAGAATCTACATATGGATGTAGAAGAGGCATTTTGCTTTCCAGAAAAGTTCTGTATATATTTCCAGTTATTTTGACATTGAGTTCCTTAGGTGTTCTAGATCAGCCACAAAGACAAAACTTGTAGGAAAAAAATATGGAAAAAAATCAGTAAAACTCAGATATATCTGGTCAGATATATCGTAGCCAGACATATCTGGTGCTTCTTCCGAAGCAAAGAGAAAAATATAGTAAAATAAATACCGGTTTAAGTAAGATTTAATCAGCAGCTAGAATAGGTCCTGAGATACTAAATATGCTCGATAAATATTTGCTGAATGAATGAGTGAATACTTGCCATGTTCAGAACAAACATGAATAATATTGTTATCCTGCAAAACTTTGTTTCTACTTAGTAAAAATGTTTAATGATTAACCTACAATAAAATTTGGTCAAAGAGTAGTTCTGTAAGACACACAGGCATGAAAATACTGACCATAACTAAAAGAACCATATTAAAACTATATTAACTAAGGAATACAACCAACAATAATAATTGAGATAAAGATTCATATTTTCATTGTCTTTGAAAATCAACTGTCATTAAAATAACAACATAAACAGCACATTATAAAGGGAATGTCTCTGCTGAAAGAATAGGCTGAATTCTTCCACTTCAAAAATACTATTTTCCCATTAAGCTCTACCATGAGGATTTATAATTGGCAGTTCCTCATATAGTATCCTATTTACCAATAAAACAAATTATGATACTATAATATTCCATATTTCAGATTATTTCTGAAATATTCTATTCTAAGTATTCTATATTTAGATTATTAATGCAGACTAGGCTTTCTTCAAATTAGTTAGAATTAATGACCTTTGCTTATAAAGTCAGAAATATCTTTTATTTGAAAATAAATGTTGAGGGATGCCTAGGTGCTCTGTCAGTTAAGCGTCTGCCTTCGGCTTAGGCCATGATCCCAGGGTCCTGGGATGGAGCCCTGCATCGGGCTCCTTGCTCAGCGGGAAGCCTGCTTCTCCCTCTGCCTTCCGCTCCCCTTGCTTGTGCTCTCTCTCTCTCTCTGAAAAATAAATAAAATCTTTTTTTTTAAATTTTTTTAAAAGATTTATGTATTTGACAGAGAGAGAGAGAAAGAGAGCACGCACAAGCATAGGGAGAGGCAGACTCCCTGCTGAGCAAGGAGCCCAATGTGGGACTTGATCCCAGGACCCTGGAATCATGACCTGAGCCGAAAGCAGATGCTTAACCAACTGAGCCACCCAGGCTCCCCAATAAATAAAATCTTAAAAAAAAAGTTAAACTCTTAGGATTCAGGGAAATTAAAAAGTTTATGCTTAGTTAAACACACTGCAGTTAATTTTTAAAATCATACAGTTTAGCAGTAGAAATGGTTGAGTGCCTTTTTTTTAAAGACCCCACTCTGGGGAAGACCAATTTGTAGATAAACAACCCATACCCAGCAGCATTGCGTAGCTAATGTCTAATGTGTGGGAGTAGGTTAGAAGCAGCTCAAACTAATGAGGTTAAGCCACATACTCTAATCATCCAGACTTGCAACAAAGCAGACAAATAGCACAGAAGCAGGGAGCATTCAATTTATTTCTAAATGATTCCTGCCTTCTTTGTATTCCAGAGTGTCACCAAGTAGATGGTCAGTGTTCATTTCCCACTGTTTCCAAGTCTCTTTCAACTTCCAGCATTGCATTTCCCCTAGTTAACTGACTATTGGGCCGTAGGCAAGATGAGTTGTAATTCAACATCAGCACAAGACATTGTAAAAAGTCACTTCCCGTTGGCTGGGAAGCTGCCTCTCATCTCCCCCCACCACCTTATGTAGCCTCCAATAGAGGTGTACGTGGGAGGCTGCAGGCTCCCAGGGACCACACAGCCTGCCTGCCTTGGGAATCCTCAGATCCCTGAGTTCCCAGAGGGGCTCAGCATTCTTGTTGTTACTCACTTTATAATTTTTAAAGATCAGTTCCAATGTAAAATCCTTCCAGAAGTGCTTAGCATGAAGAGGGTTGTTGGGAAAACCAGTTGAGCTTGATTAATTAGAAAGAAAATCCACACATTTTAATGAAATCTGGAGTAAGACCTCTCTGAAACTACAGTTTACTTTTTGTATTACTCAGGGTGTGGTTGGAAAAATCATTTTTCCCCCGAAGTAGAAATATACGTATTGTTTTATACACACACACACACACACACACACACACACACACACACACACAAACACACTCATTGTAAAAGCCTTCAGATAACAGAAATCTATAGAGAAAAGTGTCATTCTGCCACTCAGATAACAATGGTTAGTGTTTTGGTATAAAGTTTTCTGGTTTTTTATGGCTTTACAAACGTTCAGATAATTATAGGGTATTTTTTTAGTAGGGTCAGACTATAAACACTATTTAGTAATGTGCCTTTTTATATACTTTCTATATGAACAGATGCACATTTTCACCATAATTTTTATTATTTTTTTTAAAGATTTTATTTATTTGACACAAAGAGAGAGAGAGAGTGAGAAAGCACAAGTAGGGGGAGCAGCAGAGGGAGAGGGAGAAGCAGGCTCCCCCCTGAGCAAGGAGCCCGATGTGGGGCTCGATCCCAGGACCCCGGGATCATGACCTGAGCCAAAGGCAGATTCTTAACTGAATGAGCCACCCAGGTGTCCCTCACCATAATTTTTGATTGTTTGTGTTCCATTGAAAAATGTACATTTTGTGGTTATTTCCAATTTTTCATTTAAAGGATGTTCTTCTGCAAATGTCCTTGTATATGCGTCTGTTTCTTTGCTATGAATACTTGAAATGGAATTGTTGTGTAAAGGAACATGTACTTTAAAAATTTTTGTGAACAATTGCAAAATTGCTCTCTAGAAAAGTTGTATCGATTTACCTGCCCACCGGTATTGTGGGTGAGTGCCCACACCTCCACACCCTTGGAAATCATACAGGTCAGAAAAGAATGGTGTTTTAGAGGAGATATCCTTCCATTCTGTGAGTTTAGGATCATGGCCAGCTTCCTGTAGATGATGTGGTTGTGTTCCTGGTTGCTGAAGATGGTCACCGTCACATAACTAGGGCATGTATTCGTTGGCCAGATGGTAAACTCTGGTTTCCCTTTTATGGTGTACTGTCATATCTTAAAGCTCCTGTGTTCTTCTCTCTTAGATTGAGGAGGACACGTGGCAGAAATACTACTTGGAAGGAGTCTCAAATGAAATGTACACAGAATATCTCTCCAGTGCCTTCGTGGGTCTGTCCTTCCCTACTGTTTGTGAGTAAGTGACCATTCACCATGTGCTCTTTGGCCCTCAGGGATGTTTAATGTGGCCCTTGCAGGGAAGACACCTCACCTCTGCCCAGCACGGTCGGGATACTCAACAATTACAGAGGGTATCCTGTGCTCTCCATCCTGTGTGGTGAGTGGGAAGGTGGGTCATTATGTGGTCCCTGTCTTGGGGATTTCTGCTGGCCCTACTTTTCCCTGCAGCTCTTGGAACCTTATGCTTAGATCCATCATTTGCACTAAATTATGAACTTCAGTCCTGCATGTCGTGAATTAGGCTCCTTCCCCGTAGACACGATTATGAAGGGTAGTAGGAACCCTTATCTCTGATTTTACCAGGATGAAAACAGATCTTGCTAGCTCCTTGATGAAAGGAATTTTAATATTTTTCAGTCCAGTCAGATCATAGAGACATCAGAGAAGTCATTATTCAAAGTGCGTTCGTGATTTGCTGAGGAAATGTGGAACCAAATGTGTGGAAGGAAGGCTTGAGCCAGCCCTTAGTAACTTAGCCCCCACATATATGGACAACTGGCATGTTTTGACAATGAGAAGACTTAGCTTCTCCTTCTGTTGGCTCAGCAGGAGGAATTTGAGCAAGAGGCAGCCCCAGCCTGCCATGGCCCCTCTAAGTAGAGTAGGTGACCATCTAAGGGATATGACATCAAGAGTTCCAAGGGTTCCACACCCTGAGAAACTTCCATCATGATGATGCCTCAGATTTCCCACTTAGAAGCTCTGATGTTAGGTGTAAGTCAAACAGGGGTTTTGTCCCCTATGAGAACACAGACTCCCTGGGAATGCTGAAACATCAAGCCTGATCCACTGATGCTTTAGCAAAAGACTGGATAACCTCAGTCTCACTGATAAAGACCGAGAAGAAATAGGGGAATCTGGGAACGCTTTGGGCTGAGGAAGAAAAGCTGTTCCCTTGAGCTGTCCGGGTGACTACAAACAAAACCCGCCTTCTGGAAAGTGAGGTCTGAAGACAATAGTCCTGGGGGCCCTTGGGCTCCTCTGTCTTAGAGCTTTCTGTTCTGCTCACAGCGGAGAGGCGACGGAGTGCCTGGGATCTTGGTGTTTACCTGGAGACTCCTGTCAGTGAACACAGCAGGTGTACTCTATCTGTCTCTGGGCCCAGACCCTAAGCAATCCAAAATGGTCTGGCTGTTTACTGAAATTTCTCACCCTGTCTCTAAGTGAAAGTTTAAACGCTAAATGGACTGGAAAAGTGAATAGGTAATTGATTCGGAAGGAGTTATTTTCTGAAAATGGATGCCCTATTGTAACTCCCATGTGCTCTTTTCTTTGAGAGCTATTTCTCTTGCTGCCACAGAAAGAAGTTAACCATTCAGAGGCATTGGGTCCTGGAACATTGAAGCTGTCCCAGGAGATTTTCTCCACCTTGGAGTTTGGCCTGCCTGAGATAGAAAGCCCAGGAGGACTTTTAATAGAAGCTGTTTCTATTAAAAAACAAAACAAAACAGTTGAGTCCTCCTCCTATGTGATGTAGGGGTGGTCTGAGCACACTGCAAAGCTGCCAATGCCCAGAGGGTCCTATGGTGCTGGGGGCATTAGCAGGGGAGTATGTGAAGATGCGCTCCTTTCCTGTTGGTTTTCCCTGGCTTGACCGGTGTTTATATCTACCATGAGCACTTCCTCAGAAGCCTGCATTCCCACTGCTTCTCTTATTCTGCTCCTGGGAACCAAGTCAGTTCATTTTAAGAGTGTTAACCTGGAAGGTTAGAACCATTCCCCCTAGAAGCTGTAACTGGGATACCCGTGAGGTACATTTGATTGACAGATTTGGCCGATGTGGTATTTAATGTCTTAAACGTAAGTTGCCAATATTTCAAAATACTGGTATTTCACATAAAAACTAGATATCTGGCATCTCTTGAATATCTGATGAGCCGACACAGGACTTGCATTTTCACCAGACGCTAACTGGCTCCAGTTTGTTAGAAGGAAGGCTTTAATGTGGGTTCTCCCCTCTCTGATGTCCTAAACCAGGCCAGATTTGCACTGATATCCCAGGCCTGGCCCCATAGACACATGAATTTGCCAGTTCTGACTCACTGGGTGGTGTGAAACTTCATTGCCCGTCGGAGCCAGCTCAAGAACTGGACACTCTTTGCTGCTGTAAATATTCCCTTTGATTGATTTTCATGTTTAGAACATGTTGCGAGAAGAGAAGCTCTTTCAGACACACCTTGTTGTCTGAGAATTTAATATTTGTTCAGCACGGCTCCTGGAATACAAAAAAACCAAACTTCTGATGTGAGTGAGAATGTGTTCAACTTAGTACTATTATTCGTTCAGCACAATGATACGGCAGAGGTAGGAATAATCAATAAAGAAAGGACATTTAATGAGATTTAGGAACATCCCAAAACATTGGAGCTCTCCTCAAGCATTTGATTATCTGGAGGCTTAATTATCTGTGTTTTCTACTTTAAATTAAAGAAAAGCCATAACTCAAAGTTACCAGCAGTTTAATGATAACACTCTTCAATTCAGGTTAATTAAAGCACAACCGTAATTAGAGTGTAGTGTTGTATATCACCAGGCTGACGCATAAGTATTTTCATTACAGTAAGAATTGGCTATTCAATTTCAGGATGACAAAAAGGACACCAAAATATATTTTAAGCTGGTTCATGTAGAAGAAAAAAGAATTGGGGAATATTCTGGGTACAATAAACCACAGATAAAATATACAGATTTTCAGAGCAGTTTCTGTAATTATGCACCACATTAAAACAATATGCAGCCAAGAACATCTTAAAGCATGAAAAGAAATGAATTTGCTCTTCCCCTGGGCTGGCAGAGTGCCCCCTTGCAGGGTGGAGTCACTGCACAGGAGAGCCTGGAGTTTTCTCAGAAGCTGGGAGACCCCACCCCACCCCCCCCTTTTTTTTTTTTAAGATTTCATTTATCTATTTATTTTAGAGAGAGAGAGAGAGAGAGCCAGCAGGGTGAGGAGGGGCAGAGGGAGAGGGAGACAGAGAGTCTTAAGCAGCTCCATGCCCAGCGAGGAGCTTGATCTCACCACCCTGAGATCATGACCTGAGCTGAAACCAAGAGTCGGATGCTTAACTGACTGAGCTACCCAGGGGCCCCAGGAGAGCCGTCTATGAAAAGATAAGGGAGCAGGATCCATGGATGAAATTTGAAGGTATTTCCCCAGAGAACAGAATGGGGAAGAAGGAGAAGCAGGAGGGACAGAAGGCCCCCACAAGGCAAGCTTTTTACAGATTTCAAGTGGAAGGATGCTCTCTCCTGTCCAGGTGGGACCCACACCAGCTGTATCCTTGGACTTCTCTGCACTAGCCTTTTGGCTTCACTGTGTGTATCAGCAGAAGATGCAGCTTTGTTCCAAAACCAGTAACTCATAGAGACAAAATGCAGTATTATTTCTAAATAGTTCATTTACATCTTCTCATTTTATCTTCACTATGATCTTGTGGTTTATATTAATAGCACTGTCCCTGGCTTATCCTGACAGGGACACTGAGACTCAGAGGGTGTTGGTGCCCCTCCAAAGCCACCTAGCACCCAAGTGACAGAGCCAGGGTTATGATGCTAGGCCTGTGTAATTGAGAGCAGCTTGGGGTAGTTGCTATATGAAAGCTGGCTAATTAAGAATCTCCTGGGGAGGGGCACCTGGGTGGCTCAGTTGGTTAAGCGACTGCCTTCGGCTCAGGTCATGATCCTGGGGTCCTGGGATTGAGCCCCGCATTGGGCTCCCTGCTCAGTGGAGAGCCTGCTTCTCCCTCTCCCTCTGTCTCTCTGCCTTGCTCATGCTCTCCTGCTCTCTGTCAAATAAATAAATAAAATCTTCAAAAAAAAAAAAAAAGAATCTCCTGGGGAGTTTAGTAAATAGAGAGATTCCTGGACTCCAGCTGTATATTTCAATATCTGGGGGAAGCCCCCCCAATTTGTACTTTTTATAAGCAAGACAGGTGATTCTGATACAAAATCTGATGACTGGGACCCCCCCCCCCACTACCGCTTACCTCATCCCTCCACACCACAGGCTGGAGTAAACTCCCCTCATCCCTCACTTTGGGCTCAGTCACTGGAATGTTTCTCTCTGATTTTAGCCAAATTATAGAATTAGAGGTGGGCCACATGTCACAAGCTTGCCATCATTCCTGCTTCACGTGGGGTATTCTACAATGTCTGGGGAGATAGGATGAGTATACACATCACCACACCAGGCAGACCACTGACTGCTCTGCCCCCTTCCCATGCCTTATCCAAGTCGGCATAGGAGGAAGGCATTGGGGTACTGAGCCCTGTAATGCTGAGGCTGGAGCGAGCAGATCCACGCTAAGTGCTGAGAAGCCCAGGGGAAGACCAGTACAAGTCAGAATGCAGACACTGCTTGACCTTGTTGGCAACCAAGGTGGGTATGTCCTGGACCTTCCCCAGGATGCCCTTAGGTGTTCCTTTTAAGAGCCACCCCCAACTTCTGAGCATCTCCCATTCATTTGGCATAGCTGGCTTGCCCCTGGGTTTGTATGACAGTATGATCAAGGCAGAGGAGCTTTGGGATCTGAAAGAGAAGGTTTCTCAACACCAGAAAACCACCTGCTCGCTTTCCGTCCCACTCTCCACCTTCCCCAGGGAAGCAAGTGACTGTGGAGGGTGCAAGGGGCCAATGCCAAGCCTGTGGGAAGTGAGGAGCTGGGGTATGAGCCATGTTTGCCACTAAAGGCTCTTGTTTTTGCACAGTTCCCATAGTAGGATGCTGCATAATGTCACTGAGTGTGACCTGTGGAATTGCAAAGACCCAGGCTCAAATCTCCATTTCAGCCACTTGGTGGATGTGTCATTTGAGACAAGATACTTGATTTCTGCATGCCTCCTTCCTTTGATAGTGACCAGCTGCCTGACTTTGGACTTGATAAATAGAAATATTACTTATCTCTCAATACTAGCTAATATCCTTTTCCCTTCCCCCACCTCTCCTCTTCCCACTATCAG